GTCTTGCACCATGGTTGAAAGTCCAGTGAGTTGTCAACAACCGGTGGGGGGGGGGGCTTCGCGAAAGTGAGAGTTTTATGAGACGGTTCAGAACTACCAGTACATGTAATGATTCTAGCAGGCGGAGTACGTCCGCATATCCTCGTGAGCGACCGTTGCGGTATTCATGCATCCATGAAAGAGCTCACGCTAAACCTGAGATTCGGGAAGTACATGTAACAGAGCTGTTGGATCTACTTTTGTTTACGTGTCCGTTGATTGCTAAGTTACTAGTAGATCGAACAACTCCACTACCACGGTTATTAGATCTAACTAAGAGGACTCAACCGTTTGGCTCTACTAGTACAGTGCAAGTACAGAGTAACGCATATCACAAGACTCCGGACCAGGCTCCAGTGCCTCTCTGGTTGTTTTTGCATCCAAGCAATGCCGATGGCCCGAGAGTTACGGTGCAGGGTTACCCATCGCCTTTATCGGCTAGTAGGTACAGTCGTACTAGTATCGCACGCAGCCATCCACCCTTTGCTAAAATCGTTAGATTTTCAGTTGGCGAGGTGCACTTGGGAGTACTATTAACCTTAATAGTAGTACGGCACAGTGGCACTATTAATAGTAGATTTTTGCGTTAAATCTTTGTGACTTCAAAAGATTTACGTGGAAGCAATCCAACTCATCGATATCTTCCCGACACCAGCGTTTCTGGGTCGCTTTCTGTTGGATGTGTCTTTTTGATAAGTTCAGTTGGCACCAAACATGAGCTCTTCTTTTGCTTCTAGAAGGCGGCCCGATCCGCCCGAGCGTGTTCCTTCTCCTCATGATAGAGGTGACCATGGCCACACAATAGTGGTTGCCACAGCCACCGCGGTTCCCGTTGCTTCTGTCAGCAGTCATGATTCTGCGTCGAGGGACCAGGACAGGACGGTTCTACAGATTCCGTCTCGTCCCACGGGTGGAGCAGTGTGGACGCAGACTATGATTGATCTGAAAACACGAGACGTCTTTGACGACCACGAAGACAGTGTCAATAACGACAGCAGCAGCAACTGCATCCCTCAATCATCCATGGCAACAGCCACGACGGCGGCTCAGAGTTCCACTTGCAGCTTCAACTTGGAAGATGAAGAAGAGTGGTACCGAAGAGCACACAATAATAACAGCAGCACCCACAGTTTCTATCAATCCGACAATGATTTGGTCAGTGACATTGCAGAAGAAGAAGAACCATCTCAACACGAAAGTAATACCATTCTTGGAGTCACAGTCTACAAACCACCCGGCCGACAACCAGTGGGAATTGGAATCTCCAATTGTGCCACTGTCGATGGCATTCTAGTGACCAAGATTCACCCCGACAGCATCTTTCTCAATACCAATCTACAAGTAGGAATGAAGATTCTACGCATCAACGACACGGCCGTCTCCAACGCGTTCCCGGCAGACTATGTGGCCATGCTGTTGCGAGAAGTCGACGGATGGATCACCTTGCACGTCATGGATGTACGCGATTTCTTGCCCGATGACAAGAAGAATTCTAGATTATTGGACTTGTCACGGCCGGAATTGCAATGGACCACCGTTTCCATTTACAAACCCCATGCAGACGCTTCCGTGGGAATTGGAATTGCCGACCGAACCACCGTCGTTGACAACAACAATACACCCGCGACATTTCCCGTCATTGCTAGTTTTGCAGCGGGTGGTGTTTATGCCAAAAGTTCCAGTGCCAAGTTGCTCCGATGCGGGATGCGGCTCTTGAGCATTAATGGATTCCCCTGTCGAGGGAGAGATGATGCCATCGCCATGCTGCAAATTGCGGTCGGCTACCTTGAAATCACGGCCGGGCCAGAAGATATGGTGTTTGTCTGTTCCGCCACCAAAGAACAGCAGTCGTTGGGACTCTGTTTGCAACAATACGACGAACAAACGCTGATCGAATACATGACGGACGACAGTCTCTTTGCCGACACGGGGTTGCCCATTCCGTCGCGAATACTACGGGTTAATGGTATGGAAGTCAGTGGTCTGCCGCTCGATACGCTCATGTCCATTCTACATCACACCGAAGGAACCATTGCTCTTTTGGTGTCGACCAAGATCAAGTAGTGGCTGCGTCTTGCAAATACTGGTACATGAACGAAAATGAATGTGCACGTTTTATTTATATTCAATCCACAAACAATGGCAGGTGGAGCCTGGGAATCTGGCGACCCAAGATGGCTGGTTTTCCCGCAAAGCGAATGTCTCGCTGCAGCGAAGAAATGCGAACGGCAGTTTGGAGCGGCTACAACGATGGATCACAAGTACCTGCGGTGTCTACCACCGAGACCAATCAAAGATGGACAGAAACGTGGCGACGGCACCAGCCTCACTGTCGTGTATGAGCTGGCCTCGATGTGTGCTTTCTTGCCGGACCCCCAGGCCATGATAATATGCACTCGCTTAGCCAGGAGGGCCAAACCATGTTGGGACTTGGCTCACCAGCGCTATGTTTGGACGTTCACGTCAGGACAAGGTCCATCAACTGGTAGTAACTGTTGTAGCGGAAGGTTTTCATACGGGCGTTGAGTTCTTTCGTTTGTTGATCTGACGGGGCGTGGCATCAGGTGGCTTCCCGTGGCAAGTCTCGGGCCTTGGATCCAAGCAAAGCCTGATAGGTCCATCGTGCGGGTACTCTAGAGCTAGCAGTACACATTAAGGCCCTTCATTATTGTTAGACCCAGGGCAGCCATTGTCACATAGCCACTGGAACACTTCCCTTTCGTTATTCGCGCAGGCAGCTTGATATGTTGCTGCACTCCATGGACAACCATTTTCACGAGCCCACTTTAAAATTTCCAAATGTCCTCCCTGAGCAGCACTGGCACATGTATCTGCATCCCATGGACAACCATTTTCACGAGCCCACTTCAAAAGTTCCAAATGTCCCTCCTGAGCAGCACAGCCACATGTTTCTTCATCCCATGGACAACCATTTTCACGAGCCCACTTCAGAATTTCTAAATGGCCACTTGAAGCAGCACTGGCACATGTTGACGCATTCCATGGACGACCATTTTCATGTAACCACTTCAAAACTTCAAATTGTCCATATTCAGCAGCATGTTCACATGTATCTTCATTGCATGGACACCCATTTTCACGAGCCCACTTTAGAATTTCCAAATCTCCATTTGCAGCAGCAATTTGACATGTCCTTTCATTCCATGGACAACCATTTTCATGCGAGCCCACTTTAGAATTTCCAAATGTCCACTTGAAGCAGCCATGGAACATGTCTCTGCATCCCACAGACAACCATTCTCACGAGCCCACTTTAAAATTTCCAAATTTCCATCTTCAGCAGCAGCTTCACATGTCCCTGCATCCCATGGACAACCATTTTCATGGGCCCACTTTAGAATTTCCAAATGTCCATTTTGAGCAGCACAGCATGTCACCATCCATGGCACATTTCAGGCCCATTTAGAAGTTCCAAATGGCCATTTTGAGCAGCACAAACACATGCATATTCATCCCATGGACAACCATTTGCACGAGCCCATTTCAGAATTTCCAAATGTCCATTTGAAGCAGCATAGGCACATGTGCCTGTATTCCATGGACAACCATTCTCCCTTAAGCATTGGAGCATTTCCAAATGGCCATTTTTAGCAGCTTCAAGACATGTCTGCTCATTCCATGGGAATCCTTTTTGTCGTGCCCACCGCATGACAGTAATATTTCCAATTTTTGCAATTGCAGTGCAAACATGAGAACGACCAGGTGTCATATGGTTTGAATTGTCCTCAAGCCAGAATTCTGCACGGGGCTGGCTACAGAATGTTTCACTGTAAAGAGTATCGGTGACTTCCGAAGAGCGACTGGGAGAATACTGTCCCTCATCTTTTACCTCTCTTGGATGTTTCTGGAGCTCGGTCTTGCAGTACTCTTTGTACTGTTGATTCATCTTCTTGTTGACAGCTCCTACAAAAGCGTACTGTCCAACACCCACACATGCTAGAATCTGGCCAATCCAAACTTGATCGTCAACCAACAGAAGATGAGACTCTGTACCAGTGCTGGTACCTGTGTTAGTATTCATAGTATGGTTATCAGTAGTTGGACTGAGACTCAACTCAAGGTCATACTCGTGGTTGTGGCAACGTTAGTTGGGCTACTGTACTAGCGCCAGCTAGATAGCTACTAGATAGACAGATGGAAGTGGTATGGAAGTCTTGTGTTTGGATGAAACTCAATGGGGGTTGCTGTAATGGTAATAGAGCTAGTACTACCGGTTGTTGCCTTGGCGCTGATAAAAAAGGATGACAAAAAATCACGAGTTTCGTGATTTTTTGAAACCTCACGTGTATGACAGCTCTAGCCGCTTATTGGTTTTGAAACGGCCCTCTTTCAACTCAGTCAAGCTGTTGTTATTACATTTGGTACCGGTACAGTAGTGATACCGGTATCAGGAACCACGATGATGAAAGCCAGGAATTTCACCGTGGAGTGACGAGAAAGCTTCTAGTATATTTCAACTTGGGCCCTCGCTCTTTAGTGACACACGACGCACGCAGGTCTTCTCGAGAGCGCAACGGTCCAAGACGTGGAATATCAAACAGAGGGACATTCTCAGCTGTCTTGGACGACGCAGCAACCTCCACAACTATATGTTAGCAATGATGAAAATCTTTTGGATGATGGCAGTGCAAGTACGGTACTGGGTCAGCTTATGGCTGCCGAACGAGGCCGGCATCTGGTGGCCCCTTTTATACCGTACTGGAATGTTCGGCCGACTGAACATCTGAGGATATTTATGCCATGATCAATGGCAAGGTCAATGGATTTCGAACCAAGCAAGGGAGTACCAATGGGAGATATTGTCGAAACAAACCGATGCTCCAGAGTTTGGCGCCTGTTCCTTTTCCAAATTTGAGCGGCTCACTTGGGATCGTATTATCACTTGACCGTGGTAGGAACGTTCGAACGCTCCCACCATTGCGGTGAATTACTTTTGCATTGAGAATCTTGCAATCACGGACTTCAGTATTGACGGATGGGCCCTGGGTATCATGGCAAAGGCAGATTTTCATTGATAGCTTCCTTTACTTGGGTGGAGTTTGGTGGTGCTACCTGCTTCAACCTCTTTGGAAGCGAGGAGGGACAACCGGAGGATTACTACACAACTACACCAACACCACTGTCACGGTCCTCGAAATGAAATTAGTGAGGAGAATTACGATGAAATCATGTCGGAGATGGACCCAGGCGAAGAGTAGCTTGGCTTGGTTGGAACCGCAAAGGATCTATGGCGAATGGTTACCTCAAGCACGGATGCAGCTTCAAGAGAGTGCCGTACCGTACCCAGTTTCCGGTGCTAGTACCGGGGGTACCAGATGAGTCTTTGATACACCTCCTCAAATCATGCTGTGCTGTAGATGCAATCTTACGGCGTTGCAGACGTCTGTAATGATCCAAACCCGAAGACGTCCCTGCGAACAATGGTAGAAGGTTTTGATGGCATTAGTTAAAAGATATAAACATAGCACTATAGTCTGGCCGTCATGTGACATTGGTGAAGCTGTGTTGAGTCAAGTGCATCTTCCGACGGTTCTGAAACCCAGCTACTATCTAGTTGCTCGCTACCGAGTTTCCACCACAAGTGGGAGCTTTCGTTTGTATTGCCAATCAATGCTGTGTACGTAGCGATACCCGTAGCTACCTACCGGTACGGTACCGGAGCCCTTAACTGGTACCACGGTCATTGTCTTTATTCAATCATTTGCCCATTGCAATAACACTCTCATTGAAGAGAACAAAGCGAAGAGTCCGATGGGACGAGCCTTCCATCAGCATTTATTTAGGGTGGCACCCAAAAAGCGAAGCGTACATGGGAAGCCCTGGGACAGTCTTCGTGTCTGCGGGTGGCCATCATTATTTCAAGCAAAACCACAGCTCAAAAAAGCCCTCTATCAAAGCCCATCAGAGAAACAAACGAACCAACCACCTAACCAAGATGATGCGATCGACGGACAACACACTCATCCGACCGAAAGTTGTCTCGGCAAAGATTCCCCGTCAACGTGAGCACGATGACAGCGCGATTATCATTGTTGATGCAGAAAGCCATTCAGTGGCTCTGACTCGTTGGTCGGCAACACCGGAGGCAGATCACCCACTTTACCTGAAACGAGGAAGGCCAGATCCGAGAATACAGTTCACCATATCATGCGGTAAAAACTGTTATTTGGGAGAGAAGTTCGTGCAAAGGGTACGTTTAGTCTCGAATCTGGTCTACGTGGCTGCGATCGTCAAAAGAGAAAGTCTAAACGATACTTCTGCTCTATGGTCATTGCAGACGGTTTCAACGGGTGCTTTCATGTGCCCAGTTTGTCGATGTATCAAGCCGTACAAACAGAAGAAGCTGTATTTATCCTTTCATTTCCTTGTATTCTCCCTTGGACACACCAAAGTGGACGACTACGTCAAATGCCGAAGCAGCCGGGGCAAGGGATGCGGGAACCATTTCAAAATGGAAGTGCTGGAGGACCAGCCAAAAATTTCGACTTGCATTCTGGAAAAGCGTAAGTAAGCTGTTTGGAAGCAATGATTGACGCTCCGTAGTCTAGTTTGCTAGCTAGAATTGAAACGCATCTCACGCCGAAATCGTCATTATGCTTGGCACCAAAACAGCCCTGATCCACTTGCTGTTCCAGATTCAGGCATTGGGCCGCGAAAACGTAAGGCTGGCTCAGCAAGAGACAGTCCGACAAACCTACTATCAGCTGACGGGATTTGAACCGCTTGAGGCACTCATCCGTGCTGCGGCCAAAGACACCAATCAACGAATTGCGGAGGGCAAAGCAAACATTTATGATGACATCGTGGCTGCCGTGACCAAGGTTGCACCCCTGCTTTGTAGCCAAGAGCAAAAAGAGACGATTGCCAAGGAAATTGTCAAGGAGGGCCTCTCGGCTGGCCATGGAGTGATGGACGGCAACTGTGCCAGTATGATATCAGAGGTAGAGCGAGTGTTCAATATCCCAGGGTTCCAGTTTGCGGATGCTTATTTGAACTACTTTGGGCCCTCATCGCCCAAGACCTCCCGATCGAGCTTTGGATCATTGACGCTCAAAGCGTAGCATAGATGGCCGGGGACCTTGTGGGTGGCATCTACGGTACGATCAGGCCTACTCAAAATTTTGAATGCAAAGCAACAACAACTCAAAGTCTATTGACACACTCAGACGAGAAGTGTTTGGAGGTGTTTGTCACAGTCAAGTCAGCTCACAGGCCACACTGGCATCTGAGAGGATGTGACGCCATGTAGCTACCTAAGGATTATAAACTGAGATCTGAGTGAAAACGAGCGATCAAATAGAGTGCAGTCATAGTAGAGTAGATGATTCATGATGGGCGGGTGTGGGGAACAATTAACGAGAGATCCAACAAAGCTATTGCTGTGATATTAGGATTCTAGCTATGCCGTGTCCAGTACATGTACGATCACATGTCACCACTTAGTGAGGCAGATTGAAAATTTTTCATCCCTACTTGCTGATGTCCATTTTGGCATCTTTGGTCAATTCTGCAGCTTCTTCTGCCCCAATGACAATATCATCAGGTTCTTCAACTTCCTCTCCTTCCATCGCATCCATCCAAAACTCGGCATTTTCTTGAAAGATGGCGGGAGGACGGGCCGCCCTCACTTCACCTGGTCGATCCACATACTCAATCAAGGCCATCGGAGCGTTGTCTCCTTGACGTCGTTTGGTCAGCTTCAACACTCGTGTGTAACCACCATCTCGAAATTGATACCGTGGTCCCAAGACCTCGACACACTTGAAGATCATTTGAGGAGTCCGGATCACTGGTTGGACGGCACGGTACGCATTAAAGTGCGTCTTGAAAATCTTCTTGCCATTCCACCAAAGTGTCTCCTTGTTGGGGAGCACATTTGAAGGTGTTTCTTGCAAGTCGGGAGAATTGCGTTTCACCAACGTGATCATCTTCTCCGCCACGGTCTGCACTTCCTTGGCTTTGGGCAGTGTCGTCACGATCCGTTCATGCTCAATCAACGAAGTCACCATGTTGCGCAGCATCGCCCATTTGTGAGCCGGGGTTCGACCCAACTTGCGGAATCGGATCCTCTTCTTCATGACGCTTTAAATACTCCAATCGATTCAACAACAACTCAAGCTGACAGTGATGTTATCAGCACTCTTTTATGACAGCCGACACGATCGCTAAGCGCCATTGTGGCTGCTTGATTGCCGCTGAAGAGCTCGCGATCAGGATATGAGCCGTTGAAAGATCTGCAAACGGCAAGGTAATCAAAGGTTTAGGGATCTGCTTGCGTTAACGCCTCGCCACGACAGCGCCATGTCGATCCAGAAAACAGTCACGCCGTGACGCCTCCACGGCGCGTCTTCAAAGCAAAGCGGTCTAAAGCAAAGCGCAACCACCATGGAAGTATCAGCCCGCTTTGCTGCTCTTGACAATCCTGTGCCCACCAGCGACTGGAGTGTTTCCAAGAACCAGCCATTGGAAATGGTGTTGATGGCCAAGGCCGATTTCGAAACTGTCAAAACTTTCTACGAGTTCTATCCAGAAGCGCTAACTGAAGAGCTGTTCACCATGTCCTCAAATGTGGTGCCAAACCAGGAGTTGTCGGTTTTCTTGCCCTCATGCGACCTGAGTTGGTTGATGACGATTCTTTTGAGATTGCAGTGGCTCAAGGACCAGGACCTGATAGACCTACTGATGATGAAATCATTGACATGGCTAGTATCAATCCAACAGTATTGGTGTCAAAAGGACCACACTATGTGCTTCCACTTACTTTGACGTTAGCATTGAACTGGAAATACAGCCTACAATTGACCCAAAGCCTCTTCAAAATGATTGCAGGAAAGGCACCCGAAGTCTGTTTGCCTGCAAACATATTTGATGGTATCGAAAGTTTTGCTCCGTGGGTTGCCCTTGATGAAAACTCGACCACAAAACGGGCAGCAATGGATATGGTGGCTGTGCGGGGTATGGAGCCAGTTCTCAAGAGTAGCAATGTCAGAATGGCTGCGAACTGGTGTACTGATTGGGAAGTGGATGCCTTTTTGGAATTTGTCCGCAAAATCCTCTCAAATCGGAGCATAGAGGATCTCAGACTCGCATTTCCGGAGCCCTCCCAAGACGAACATGGGAAATCAATAGGGTTCAACTCAGATGCATTCAAGGAGCTACTGCCAAAATGTAAAATCCAAGATGTATGTCTGCATCACTGTTCAAACAATCCTTTGGCATTTGATTTCCTGGAACATTGCTTGGCAGGGATGCCTTGTCTGACGCGAATCGATATGAAGCTTGAAACTGATGTTGATGCTGTTTCAACAATTATGAGCAATTTCCTCTGCAACAACTTAGTAGTGGATTCCTTGACAATCCGGGCAACAAGTGACACATCAGCAAAGGGGCTGGATCCAATTCTCAATTCGCTAAAGCGCAATGATACCCTCCGAGAATTCTACTACTGTCAACGTAATATGCAACCGGACAAGTTCAAGAGATACCACGAAATTTTAACAAGTATTCTTCAGAAGTCCAATACAACGCTATCTGGCGCGGAATTTTGGGATGGCTGCACTGATGACAATCTGGACGGCAACCTCTGCACTGAAATGCATCCAAGCCAACACTTGCTGCCTTTCAACACGACCCTCAATTTTGCGGGACGCAAAGAAGCACGTGAACCATACTCCAACACAGCTGGATTCGTGGATCTTCTGGTCCAGGTGCAAGAGGATACAATTTATCTTGACGACGAGGAAAATCATCCAGTCACAGATGACGATGTTTTCAATATGCTTTATGGACTTTTGCATGAAAACCCAGGCGAATGGAGTCGAGTCATCCAGGCAACATCTCACAAGGCAGCACTGCTTGTGCAATCAAACGAAAGCACAGCGCCATGTGTTGATGACTGGCTGCATTGATTCGATTTGCCATTTGTCTTTTTGCTGAATTTGCATGCTATTGGCTTGAATCTCAGATTGCGATGGATGTCGCTAACTTTTCCTTGGTTTGGGGTTCGAGTCCCCATCCGCAACGGTTCGCACTATTTGCAAGCTACTTTAGTGTATTAAGTTCGCACACAGTTATAATAGACTTTGATTACTAGGATTAGCTAGCCTGTTTTCTCGTCAATCCAGTTCACTCTCCCTCAACGGCACACTTTTTCTATTCCTCGGGCAATGCAAAGTTGGCTGGAGTATTGGTGGCTGAGGCTTCATGCATGAACGTTGGTAGTGGGAATCAACTTGGCCGAGAGGAATGAATTCCACTTGGCCAAGTGGGATGGATTAGTAAAAGATGGCATACCATACATAAAGTTGGGAGCCCCACTATGATCAAAACTGCTAGCTCCACCAAGATGACTGATCTTCAAGATTACAGATGAAAAGTTGCCCTGCGCTTTCATCTGTGCTTTCTATGAACTATTAATTAATGCAGCGAGGTTATCTACTGTAGTAGGGGGGGTCAAAGAAGAGGTGGAATTCGGGACTAGCTAGGTTCCGTGGGATTGGGGGCGACAAACTGAGGACCAACACTAAAGGGTTTGACGTTGCAAATGAGTAGCTTTGCCAAGGGCAAATGAAAGTCATGGTGTGATGTAGCTACTAGGTAGAACATTATTTGGGAGTGTAGCATTGAGTTTTGTTTGCATTGGCAGTAGCAGTGGTGGCACCAATACTTTTCTTGTTCTGGCACACCACGTGACCCTCATTTCCTGGGGTGGTGAATGGTTTGACTTCCATAGAGCATGTGGCTTGGTTTTCCTCAGCAGCCACGTGTTAGAACAAGGAACTGGATTGGATCCATCGATCCATCCAGACAAAGGCCGGCTGCCAGTATGCCTTCATTGAGTCGGTTGATGTTCCAATTGCGGGGAGTGCTGAAGAGGTTGTTGCCTATGGTGGGTTCATGTTGGATGGCATCTCTAATGCTGAATTGACAGTATCGAATCCCCCATGAGAGGATCATCCAAGCAGGTTGTGTTTGCCAAACACCTTGGAACTGAAAAGCAGAGTGCTGTCCAATCCTTCAAAGATCTGATTAGTGTAAGACAATTGATGGTCGCGAGGGTATTTTGGGAGAGTTTGGCACTGGCAAGTGGTTTGGCGGCAATGGAACAATCATGAAGGATGCTCATACATGTGGAAAGGAATGGCAAGTTCTTGAGACTGAGCCCAAGCTCTTTCTTCCAACGTTTCCTCCAGCGCACAGTTCCGTGCCTAATGCCTAGTGCGAGGCACTTACAAAGTCGCGATCTTGGCGAATCCTTTTCCAGGGAAGCTGGAGAATACTGGAGAGGCCTGAAGGATCAGTGCTTCTATGATGTCATGGCTGAGGGAGACCTGGAGCTTGCTGAAGCTGGAGCTTTCTGAGCATTATTCATTTGTGGGTGTGTTGAAATTGTCAAGGGCAATGAAAGGATTTAAAGCAAAAGTTCTTCGTCATATGTCTCAAAGTCGAGATAAGCACTTCTTCTTGATAGCTAGTTTGTTTGTTTGAAGTTTCCCTTGGCAAAGATTCTCCGAATGGCGTTGATGGCCTTCCGCCTTCTCTTCATGATAAAGACGACAGAATTGACTAACCACTTTTGGTTGGATAAGGACGGATGAATTTTGTGGAGGTGAACTCGAGCGGAGAATTTTCGACGGGCATCTAGCAAAAAGCCGTCGTTGTTGGTATTGACGTGAGGGAAGGGTCCTTCCGGGCACGTTTCATTAGACGGCAAGAACTGTTTGCACAGAGGTCCCCAACCCTGTTTTGGGTGGTAAGGAACCAATCTTTCCGATGGAACCTTTTCCTGGACCTGATGATGGTAGCGATGATAAGCAACCTTGGCACTGGCCATGGAAATGGACGATTTCCGTTCTAGTTTGTTGTAGGGATTAGAATTCTTGGGGACGCCGTGTGGATGGATTTCTTCGTCGCGATATCCCATTTGTTTCTTGTGCCAGTATCCGTAAGGACCCTTCGTAACATTCCAAGAGGAAGTGAACGGAGGCTGCCAAAAGTACATATCCATCGAGTACCCCATCTCTACCATGGATCGAGCCCAAGAACCCGCATCTCGTTGCGTCTGAAGAACTTTGGCGTCAGGGTAAATTTCCATGAGTTGCTCGTACACAAAACAGGAAGGCTGGTCCAGAGTTGCATTGAAGCCTTCGTCAGACAATTGCTGCACAAAGCGGCCGAAGGCCAAGTCGTACTGTTGTTTGTCCTGCTGCGTATCGGCGTCGCAAATGTCTTCCCAGATCGGATGGAAGGGCTTTGTCATCGTCGTAAAGTGGAAGACTTTGTATCCGAGTCTCTCCAAGGCGCTCGCGATGGAAGTCGTCGCGGTCCGTGGGAGCGCCGCCCCAATGATGAGAAGTGGTGTCGTTATGTTCAGCGTCAGGTTCATGGTCCAAGAGGCCGGGAAGTGATACCAGGGTCGAATCTTCAGTCTTTGGCCCCCCGTAATGATCCTCAATTTATCCCAGTGGTAGATATTCCTCATTCTCAAAACCTCGGTTACTCTACCGTGGGAAAGCTCCTCACAGTCTCTGTTTTCGTGAGGAGAGCCAGGGTGACGTCAGTGGGGGCGCTCACTTGGCCCTGTCTTTGCGCCTTTGAAAAAATTATGATAGTTCATTCAGAATGAATCCACGCCACGATCTGAAAGATTCAATCAACGCAAACTTTATGCACACATACAGTTTCACGAAGTGAACCCAGTTGTCCACGCTTCTTTATCAACACAATGAGTACGCCTACCAACATCCCATCAAGAAGCTATTGAGCGTACAATGAAGCACCAAGCAGGCTTGAAAAAGAAAGCAAAATACCGGATCGAGAGCATTCCTGTTGAATTGGAAAAGTCCGGCACTACTCTCTCCACGACGGCCTATTTTATTAGAACAAAGACAATCAAATTTCGCCACAAGGGAATCATTGATGAGACACCACCTTATTTGCGTTTGAAAGACTTGACACAAAGCAATTTAAGCAAGCAAGTGTTGGTTTATTACTCAGCAAGTGGCAGCGGCAAGACGTCGGAACTAGTGGGCAGCGCTGCTACCCGCGGCGCTGATCTTGCCTTTGTTCTGTCAGCAGAAGACCCAAGCCCAGAAAGCTATGGAACTTTTGAGGAAAATGCGGACGAACTGATCGCAAAAGATCGCCACAAAAAGAGAGCATCTCTCGGAGGAGAGATGGAGGCGTCAGTGGACGGCGATGATGGCCACGCTAAGAGCGCGACTGAAGAAGAGAACGATAGCCAGGAGGAGGAAGATAGCGTCAGCGACGAAGAGGGCGACAACGACCTATCAGTGAAGCAATTCAAGGAACGATATGTGAACCGGTCGGCCGCAGACATGGCGATTAAAGATGGAGGGTTGAGTGCCATGATCAAAGCTGCAAAATCTCAGATTAAGCCCATCGTGGAGGCTGCGACCCAATCCAAGCAGAGGCTGAAGTTGGTTCTTGCCATTGATGAAGCCAAGTCCTGCCCACATGTTATTCGTGGGATCCTTCGATTTCCCAAGTACATGAAGACTCTTGTGCGCGACGTTCTGAAGGACAATGGCATGACGATTGACAAGCGCAAATTCAGTCTTCTCATTTCTGTTGGTGGGACTGGAGTTGCATCCTCAACCATGGGATCCCTTCCTCGGAACTTTTCCATCCTGAAACCGTACCACGAAGACAACTGGAAGGCTGTCATTAACTCAAATCTCAAACAGGATCCACTTGATGTGATGGTCACTTGGAGTCCGACAGCTGTGACCATCAAGTCTATCAAGGACATCTTGGACCACTATCCAGTGCTTGCTGAGTTGATGAAGAATGGCCGCGTGGCTTCAATTGCTCTGGAAGAGCTGCGAAAGTGCAGCATTCAACGAAAAGAAGTCCTGGAAGGGCCCATTGCGAATGCTTGTGTCAAGCAATTCATGGCGAGCAATGGCATGAATCCTATTGCTGATCAACCAGAAGAACAAAAAATTGCTGCCTCTGCTGCTTTGGCTGTTCATTTGTTTGGTGAAAATGATGACTTTGACATGGAGGTGCCACAAAATCAGGGCGAAGTGGCAACCTGGGCATCCCAAATGGATTTTTTCAAGTTTTCAGCAGACATTTCTGTCAAGACATTGGTTGGAACATATGGCTTGTTGGAACCCTCGAGGGCAATCACTGACAATGACCAGGGGAAAAAGATTTCACCCCCATTGAAAATGACAATGTCTCAGCAACTGATTGCAGCGTTTATGCTAGGCCTTGGACTAGACAGTATGCTCCAGCAATCATGGTTTGGGTTTGAACTCATGTCAACCCATTTCGTCAAGTGTGCGATTGCCGCATCAGTTCTCGTTCACAAGAAAAAACGACCTTCTATTATGTACGCCTTGTCGTGCCTTGGTTTTCAAGTTAACGAGGGTGTCACAGACGATAGCGTGATTGCGACCTGGGACAAACTGGACGATCTTTGTGCAGCGTCAACATTGCCCAAGTCTGATCGCACGGTGTATCATGACAGGACACGTCAACTTAATGTCGGGCTCAAAATCAATAAAGGTCAAGGCGGCGCTAATGGCAAGAAACCAACCCTACAAATTGAACGGGTGCTCTTGCATGCTTTGACAAACTCTGTGTCACGCATACGCCATTTTGGCGCTCCCATCGCATGTGTCAATGAAGGAAAAAGCAAGTTGGCTGACGGAATGGTCACTTTTTTTGCATTTAAGCGCCCGAAGGATACTTCCAGCTTCAACACACCTGGGCTTTCCTAAGTAATTTTACCGGGACTTGACTGTTAAGTAAATGAAAATAGTAAATTTCGGTTTTTTGTTTTTGAAGTAGCTATTTTACGTTTTGTCTCTTGCAATTCACCACAAACAACAAACAAACGTCACTTTGGAGTTTTCGATCCTCTACCTGCTACCGGTACTGTACATCGTATACGGTTGTCGCTCGCCGCGAGGGTTGTCCCTTCTACTAGTGTTGTCGCTCGCCGCGAGGGCTTGTCCTTGGTACAAATTTTAAAAATGAGTGTTGTCGCTCAAACGCCGCGAGGGCTTGTATACATGGGTGTGTCGCTCGCCGCGAGGGCTTGGGTGTGTCGCTCGCCGCGAGGGATTGTTGTTGTGGGTGTGTCGCTCAAACGTAAACGCCGCGAGGGCTTCTTGTGGTCAACCGCTGCTTCTACTGGGTGTGTCGCTCAAACGCCGCGAGGGCTTGTCGCTCGCCGCCAGTGCTTGTTGTTGTGGGTGTGGTCAACCTGCTGCTTCTACCCGTAATGGTGTCGCTCAAATGCCGCTTGATTGATGGATGGATGGTGTGGTTGTCTGGTGGTTGTTGTTGTTGTTGTTGTTGTTGTTGATGATTGTTGTGGCGTCGTTGCTTCATTTTGATGAATTCAGTTCTTTTTTACTGTTCTCAATGCTGGCCATTTGTCACAGTGAACACCTGCTTAAACAGCATTTTTCACCTTCATAAATAAAAATAAACACCTGTAATATTAATAAATCACCGCCTTAATTACTGTCGGCACCGCCCATCGGTGTATTGCCTCTAATACACACCACCTCACTTATGGGACCTGCCCCCACGGTTTAACCATCGCTTCGCTCCGGTTAAACCTGGGGCCAACGGTCCCATAAGTGAGGGGGTGTGTTTTTAGAAAGGATAGAACGGCTGTTCTTCCTGTAGAGAAAGTCACAATCATGGTTCAAGCAAAAGACCACCATGATTCGGACCTGAACGCATCCAAATTGAATGATCATGCCGAGCATTGTGGACACGGCAGACAAGTGGTCGCCAAATTGATTCTATTCAAAAATTGCATATGGTACGTGTTCCCTGTTTTCTTGTGTTCCCGCGCGTCCTTGAACTAAACAACCACCTAAAGGAATCCTTTAGTTGGTCCCTTAGTCGCGCGGGTAGAGACTGGCCTAACCCAGCCAACTCCGTGGTTGGCGATTCCTTGAATATTTTTGCACCTTCTTCCTTGCCCTTCTTCCAAGTTTTGTTAAGATCATTCCTCGTCGTTTTCCTTGTGCTCGTCTCCAACCTCATCCTCTCCTCGCTTTCGTTTGCGGCCCTTCTCATCACACTTCTCAGCCTCTGCATTAACAAGACATGCATACTCTGCAACACGACCTTTTTCGCTGCGCTGTTTTTCTAGCTGGCCAAGCAAGTCTATCAACAAGTATCCGTCATCAAACTTGAAAGGCATGAATTTCCGCGTGTTCTGAACAGTCCCCGTTGCGATCAATGATTTGTGCTGGCTGGCAACACAGAGCAGCCGACATGCGCCAAAAGCTCCGTTCAGGAT